AATCCCAAAAAATCCGAAAAAAAACTATGTTATGCAGAAAAATAAACAGAACAACTTTTGCCTCAGATGATGATATGGAAAGGTACATGGAAAAACACATGTAGTCAAAGAAAGCTCAAAGCAGAGACATTTCAAAAGAAAGCTCAAAAGAGACATTTCAAAAGAACGCTCAAAGCAGAGACATTTCAAAGACGAAGATAGTCATCTTAGTTTGAAAGTTGAAAGAATTACACACAGTCGTGAGAGAACGGCGTCCCTGACGCACGTTTCGGCAGCTGCTAGGCTGCCTCCTCAGGGGGTTTCCCGCCAAAAAACTTCACCCGAAACTTAATCCGTTCACCGACTAACCCTCTTCCGTAACCATCGCTACGCGACATACCGGATGCCGCACAGTTCTAGCTACGTTAGTCCCTTCACAGAGGTCGACTATCCTATCGGTCATCCTATTTATCGCACAGCACAACACCGAACACACAAACTTCTACAGTACAGGACCTATCTGTTCGGACACAGCAGCGGGCATTAGTGACCTACGGGCCACAAAAGGCCTGGCCGCGGATAAACAGGCAAAACAGATTATAACACCGTCCCGATAACGCCGTGAGCCCAAGCAAGACCCAGGACCCACCCTATCCAAACAGGATAACCCAAACCAATCCCAGCCTATCCCGCGCCAAATCAGACAACCCAAAAACCTTCCGAACAATATACCCCAAGACCAAGTTCAATACATCCCTGTCCGAATACTACGAGTCATATGGTCCCAAATTCTCACAATTAAAATCCGCGTACACACCACACCGGTCATGTAATATCTATTAGATAAGAACACTCCCCATGCATATCAATCTAAACCTATCAGAGAGAAATACGGTAAGAAAATGCAAACAACAGCACAGAGAAAAATAGTCCTATCCTATACTTAAAGCGAGATACGGTACGCATTCTTCCATCACACCAAACAAACTTCACAAACACATCCTGCATGAAAAAACCTACGAATCCATGCAGTCTCAGGTTCCATGTAGCACATTGAAGTTCAAAACCCTGTTCTAAGAGAATAGGAGTTTGGCAGTCCACTTCCAGATCGCATCCCTTCCCACAGCGAACGCTTTCAAGACACGTTTGAAAGTCTCCTTTGGGAATCCTTTAATCCTTAGTTCCCTCTTCACGGTCAGAACTCTCATAGGGATTTCCGAGCGGATCGTGGTATTCCGATCGATCCGATGCAAATAACTACCGATAATCGCAGCCTTTTGTTGCTTGCTTCCCCATGAGGAGTAAGACTGACCATTTTTGAAAGTGAGTTTCTCCAGGTCCCAGATTGTTTCCTCATTCTTGATTAACTGCACACAGCCCAGGTGAGGTGGCACATTTTGTGTCCTGATTTCACACCCGAGAAAAGGCAGAGTGCCCGAGCCTGTGTCAGTCCTCTTCAGTACCAGATTCTGCGGATAGCAGCTCTCGAAGGTGTCCAAGATCGCTCCTCGTTGCTGTGCAGACAGCCCAAGAGTGACAAGTGTGATATCGTCGACGAGTCGAATTCCAAAGACCCTCTTGCGGAATACGCCAAGGTTATTCATAAATTTGCACTCCGCATAGGCGCACAGAATACAAGCCAAAGGTGGGCTTGTACTCTTGCCCATCGGAATGCCAATCACTTGTCTCAGGAGGACCCCGGTAGCATACGTGTAGGTATGCTTCAATTCTAATCTTACAAACTTAAGGATGTCAAAGAGATCCAACTGTCTCCAATGGTCGGCACCCGTTGTCTTCCCAAAGGAAACGCCTCTGCCCCTAGTGTTAACTCGCACCGATAGCTTGCCTCTCTGTCGATAGTGATCGACAATCCACTCAACTGCTTCAAGAATGTCTTCGTGAGGGAGTCGGCTGAACATCTCCTTGATGTCATACGAAGCCGACTCTACTCCCTCCCTATTCTCTCTCTCGATCCTCCTGTTGATGCGTTGCAATCTGGCCGCGAGACTCGAGACGGCCTGAAGATTGAAATGGCTGTCAACAGGTAGTTGGAACAATAAGTGATTCAAAGCCTTCGCCACCACTCATCCAGTCTTCACCATAGGCCCCTTGAAGGTGGGGCATATGGGTCGAAACCGACTTGTGTCTTTATGTTTCGGGAGTACATAGGAGGCTCCATAGCTCCCCATTCGTCCCAACGGGCAAACTTCGTCAAACCCTCCTCACGAACTTCCATTTTGACCATCGCCAAAACCTCCCTCTCCTGGTCTTTGACAATCCTGTAACCAACATTCGTAACGAAAGAATCTATCATCGCCCTATAATACACGAAAGGACATATAACAAGTGTCTCCCCAGCGTTACGATCCAAAGGGGTGAGAACCATCCCATCGCACTCTCTCTTCACGGTGTTGACTTCCTCCACCGAGATCCTATCAGAGGAGTCGTCCTTCTCACCAAAGCAAACTTGAAAATCAAAACGGCTGAAGTCAGGTACAAACCCCTTCAGATTGTACCAGTTCGAGAACCCAAATACCACTTCCTGTCGCAGCAGAGATATCCGGTTCGGGATGTCAAGACGGGGAATGTCATTAGTGTTCGACAATCTTTCGTATCGAGTATCATCGTCGCACAAACGAAAGCAGACGTGCCCATCCTCTTTCGGATGGGGCGACCCTGCACAGACGCAGGTGGCAGTATCGCGGGACGCAAAAGCCCGTTGATTATGAAGGGTATGACCGATCGAAGGGTTCTCCACCCAGACGATCCGTACCTTCTTCATTGCCCGATTCCGAATGCAGACATGTAACTCGCATGCCATAATACCATCGTTCATTAATTTCCTTAGCTCTACTAATCTAATGCGGTCATCAAACTTCACGCGAATAACGAGATCGGCAGACAGACTGAAACCAAACGAATCATGGACCACTCGAGATATCAACCGCCTGAGGTACTTCCGAGTAGATTTCTTACTGAAATCCTTTATCACATTATACAGATTCATGAGCGATTTCAATCCCCATCTATAGACTTCCGAAATCTTTTTCGGATTCCTCAAAATACCGACCAGGATAGCTTTTAGGATTCTAGCCTTCGGCTTCCATTTCCGCATGTGCACAAACACGAAGGTGCCCCCGTTTTTGAAACGCTTCTTACCGGCTTTGAGTAGAAATTCAGTTTTACCCTCCCTTATCGTCGATTCTCCAAAACTCTTCCTTAGCTTCTTCCATCCTCCCACCCACGTATTACCACCTAACGTCTTGCAGGTCAACTGCTGTTGACCACCCGCCGGTTTCGCGTTGAGAGACTCCGCCAAATTCAGGACCGGCTGCACGTCTCCAACAAAAGAGAAGGACATCGGATGTATCGCTCGTTCCTTACCCAATCCCGACTTCCTTTCCTTCCTCCCCTTGCGGTTTTTCTTCCTCCCTCTACTACTCTTAACAACCCCGACACTATTCAAAAATGGCGACCATTGTCTAATATAGACATTCTCAAGGGCTTATAGTTTCTTTTCGACAGACTGGTCAACCGGCATCACTACATAGTTCCCGGGTCCAAACGCACATAACCATCGCTGAAAATGGGAGCGCTTACCGCTTCGGCACTTGTATAGGTGCTCACGCCATCGTACGTCCATATCCCATGTAGTTTTTCCTGCATACTGATGTTTACAGAATGGAGAGACCGCGACATAGACTACATTCTTCAACGTAAGGAACTCCGTCCCGTGTACATCACAAAAATGTCTCTAAGAATCGACTAGTTTAGCGTTCCATCTGATCTCCTTCCTGCAACTCAGTACGAGGACACATAGTCTTAGCAACTCCTCAGCCTCACGGTCGATAGACTCCAACTTACCTCGGTATTTCGTCACAAAATCAATGATCTGCCATATCTCGTCTGATCTGTATTTCCATCAAGCATCGTTCTCTTCCTCGTCACCTTCAGCGATTGCTGCTTCGTCCTCGACCAGCTCCGTAGCGCTGGATACCTCGATCGCCTCGATCTCACCGAAGTGCAATCGAGTACGATGGCTAGCGATATCGAATATCGCATCAATCTTCCCGACATACGCCACCCGTTCGTCCTTGCAGATTCCCTGCAGCTCCAACGCATCCAGTGAACGTAAGTCTTTCATTTGTTGGTTACGATATCGTAGCTTCTCAACGGTGCTAGGCTGCCCTGGTATCTTCTTGAACTTGTCAATCAACGGTGATAACTTCGTCTTCAGCTTGGCTATTGAGCGGGTAATTCGAACAGGTGTGTTGGTGTCCTTCTTTTTCTGCTCGGATCGTCGCGGTGTCCGCTTGGCTGAGGTGACCATCGGTGGACTGTCTTCGAACACCACCTCAGGCCCCCTCTTCCTTTTCTCATGAATCGTCAACTTCTTGGTTTTTGCTCGAATGTCCTCCGTGCCGCTTTCATAACTCTCATCACCGGAATCGGATGGTATATGCACCTTCTGTTTTACTGGTTTGACTTTCTGAGCGAATTCTAACACTGCGCCCAAACTAGCCTCCATACGATTCAAAAAGTCGCCAGTCTTGATCGCCAATTGGAGCTCCACCTTCTTATCGATCTCTGCAGCACGTTGCGCTTCCCTCGTCTGCTTCTCGATGCGCTTCTGTTCCTTCTTCTCACGAGCCTTCTGCTCCGCCTTCAGTCTCTCGGGTTCTTCCTCGGCTTCGATGCGTAAACGTTCGTCTTCGGCCTTCTTTGTCGTTTCTGCCAAAACGAACTCGGACACCGACGCCAGACTCTTGTTTAGTTCCTCAATCTGACGACGCAAGTCTTCCGGTGCCACAGTAGCAGTAGCCGCCGCAACTTTCCTCGGGAACGCCGATCGACCCCGGTTCACGTCATATGAGGTGGAGGCCTTCGTCTCAGGAGCACGCCAACGGCTAGGGCACTGGTTGGCATAATGCCCCCTCTCATTGCAACTGAAACAACGCGGTGGAGAGCGCCGGTAATACCGATCGCCGCCCGCATCTTCCCTTCGGTCGAAGCCATGTCGGCTCACTCTGTCCTCGCTACCAGATCTCCTGCCTCGGTCATAGTCGCGCCGATCTCCTATTGTCAACTCGCACACACGGTCAACAAAGTCGCGTCCAAAACGTACTCCACACTCGCAGTAGTACAACGAAGTATAGTGCCACAATTGAAACTACACGCTCACTCGTCTAAGTAATTTTTCCCCAAGACAGTTAGCGTGTGCTATCGTAGATGATGATATGGAAAGGTACATGGAAAAACACATGTAGTCAAAGAAAGCTTAAAGCAGAGACATTTCAAAAGAAAACTCAAAAAAGACATTTCAAAAGAACGCTCAAAGCAGAGACATTTCAAAGACGAAGATAATCATCTCAGTTTGAAAGTTGAAAGAATTACATACAATCGTGAGAGAACAAGATATTCCTTACCAATTTAAAAATAAAGACGAAGATAGTCATCTCAGTTTTGCCTCAGGGTCATATCGAAATTCTTTACCAATTTTAAAAAAAAATTAAAATTGAAAAATAAAAATTTATTTTTATTTATTTTAATCCTTTTTGGCCCGGCCGGGCAAGTGGTCCCGGGCCACTCTGGTAGCCTAGAACAAATCTAAAAAAAAGATATGTTATTGAGAAAAATAAATTAAATAAGATTTGCCTGAGCATTACATCTGAATTCCTTACCAAATTAAAAATAAAAATAAAATACGGAAAACAAATACTAATAATAAAAAAATATAAAAATAAAAAGAGAAATAAATTTAGTAAGCGCGCGAGCATATTTTCGACACCGCCATCTTTGGCGATTTTTCATTTTTTTTTGGCATAGCGAAATACCCTGAAAATTTACAGATGTTTACTTCACATAATACAGAATCTGCTAAAAAAGTTTCAAAAAAAAATAAAATTGTTTAGACCCCGAACGAAAGTGAAAACAAAAAGTAAAAAGTGAAAAATACGTGCGCGAGCACGTTTTAACACCGCCATATTTGGCGATTTTTAATTCTTATTTCGGTTAGCCAAATGACTTGAAACTTTACAGGCATGTACCTCACGTCATAGAGAACTCACGAAAGAAAATTCAGAAAGAAACAATTATTTTTTGGCCTCGAAATAATGTTTGGCGGGGGCCGAACGCCGTCGGGTTCAGACCCCGTACGGGAACCCGAACGCCCGTACGTACAGAGGTCTGCCCGGGGACCTCCGTACGAACAGGATGGTGACCATATATATATATATATATATATATAGGGTTGCCGACGTTCGGGACAGGCCGAACGCCCGAACGTACGGAACCCCTTCGGAAGGGGTTCGGCCGCGTTAAAAAAAAAAAAAAAAAAAAAAAAAAAAAAAAAATCAAAAAATTCTGAAAACAAACTATGTTATGGAGAAAAATAAACTAAACTACATTTGCCCAGGCACTACATCCAAATTCGTTACCAAATTTGAATTAAAAATCAAATACAGAAAATAAACACTATAATAAAAAATAAAAAAAATAAAAAGATAATTAAAATGAGTGAGTGTGCCAACACCTTTTCGACACCGCCATTTTTGCCGATTTTTAATTATTTTTTGGCATTGACAAATACCCTGAAAATTTACAGATATATAGTTTACATAATCAATAACTCATTAAAAAGTTTTTAAAAAATAATAAAATTTTTTAGGCCCCGAAATAAAGTAAAAACAAAAGGTTAAAAGTGAAAAAAAACAAAATAGTGTGCGAGCACGTTTTGACACCCCCATCTTTGACGATTTTTAATGTTTTTTTGGCTTCGCAGAATGGCTTCAAAAGTTATAGGCATATAGATTACATCATAAAGAACTCACAAAAAAACATTCAGAAAAAAAAACGTATTTTTAGGCCCCGAGAAAAACTTTTGCGGGGTCCGAACCCGACAACATTCGACCCCCACCAAAAATTATTTCGGGGCCTAAAAATAATAATTGTTTTCTGAATTTTGTTTTGTGAGTTTTCTGTGACGTGAGGTATATGCCTGTAAATTTTCAAGTTATTTGGATAAGCCCAATAATAATTGCAAATCGCCAAAGATGGTTGTGTCAAAACGTGCTCGCCCACATATTTTTTCACTTTTTACTTTTTGTTTTCACTTCAGTTCGGGGTCTAAAAAATTTTATTATTTTTTGGAACTTTTTAGGTTAGTTTTTTATTATGTACAGTACACATCTGTAAATTTTCAGGGCATTTAGATGTGCGAAAAAAAAATGAAAAATCTCCAAAGATGGCGGTGTCGAAAACATGCATGGGCACTCACTATTTATTTTATTATTAGTATTTGTTTTTCGTATTTTATTTTTATTTCAAATTTGATAGGTAATTCGGATGTAATGATCAGGCAAATATTGTTTAATTTATTTTTTTCCATAACATATATATATTTTTAATTTTTTTGATGACTTGTTTTTTTTTTTTTTTTTTTTTTTTTGGTCCGCGTTCGACCCGAACAGCGGAACGCATCCCCAAGGGGTCCCATACGTTTGGGCGTTCGGCCCGTCCCGAACGCTAGTTACCCTTTATATATATATAGATATATACAGGTCAACCAGCGTTCGAGACGGGCCGAACGCTTGAACCCGAACGCCCGAACGTATGGGACCCCTTGGGGATGCATTCGGCCGTTCGGGCCGAACGCGGACACATCCCCCCCCCCAAAAAAAACAAAAAAGTCATCAAAAAAATCTGAAAAAAATATATGTTATGGAGAAAAATAAATTAAACATGATTTGCCGGAGCATTACATCCAAATTCCTTACCAAAATTTAAGAGAATTAAATTTTAGTGAGTGCACGAGAATGTTTCGGACACCGCGAGCTTTGGCGATTTTTCAGTTTTGCTTTGCATACCTAAATACCCTCAAAATTTACAGATGTGTACTTCACATAATATAAAACCCAATAAAAAAGTTTCAAAAAATAATAAAATTGTTTAGACCCCGAACTAAAGTCAAAACAAAAAGTAAAAAGTGAAAAAATACGTGGGTGAGCACGTTTTGACACCGCCATCTTTCGCGATTTTTAATTCTTATTTGGCTTAGTGTAATAGAGAATCACTCCGATAGTGCTTCGTCACATCCAGAGTGCCAAGTAGCGAACAGACAGCCAAAACAGAATAGGGGGGTGGAGGGTAGATTAGGAAGGAGATTGGACAAGGGAGAGGAGGAAGAAGAAGATGATAAGACATATGATGTCCCGAACGCAACTTGATTTCGAAAAATGAGAATGAAGCTCGACACTGGCGTAGGACCCTACCGGTTTCACCTGGCCATCAACCAGGATCATCAGGGGTCAGTAAGTCGGTACAGTTGACATCAGTGGACGCGGATATATAAAGAGTGAAACATAAGAGCCACGCCTACCGAAAAATATCACAAGGCCAAATAAGCCGCGCAAAAGCACCCCAAGAAAAATATTAATTACTTCTACGGTACCCGAATGCATCTAACTACACTGTTCGTATAAAACAGACCAACTTCGAAAATGGCCGACGTCCAACTAATACAGAAAAGGTCAGAAGATCGATTACCCCTGGAAACTACCAATATCTAAAAAGCCCCAAAGACAATGGGAATAATCGAAAAGGTCACGGACTCGAGACCCTTAGGGACTGCCGACAGAACAACTCAAAAAGGACTGCCACTGGCGGAAAAACAGATTCCCAAATCTTGGGCTCATATAGCAACGGAATTAGGGATAGGAAACCCTCAGAAGAAAAGGAGCATATTGTAATCCATTCCTTCCATATACCCGCAAATTTCTTTGAAAAGTTGGTCAAGGCGTCATCGAAAAAATAGTGAGGGTAACCTCTCCTCCACAGTCCCCACTTGAGCGAAAAGAGGAAGGGAAGTGCCATACCCTCAATCGTCGTGAAGGTCCTAGCCCTAAGAAGGAAAGAATAGATCATTGCAATCTTCTGCTGTTTTTTGGTAAACGAAGAGAAATCCTGCAAGTTCTGAAAGACTAATCTATCATTAGTATCTCCCCGTTGGTTTTTCAAAGGGACACACACGACCCCTGTTTTCCCTTCACAAATCTGGATCTGACAACCCAGAAAATCCCAACCATTGCCTTCACTGGTCCTTTCCTAGATGAGATTATCATCATAACATTTACTAAATGAATCGATAAGACAGAACGCTCTTCTTTGATCCTCATTACATCATTTCTTACAGATCACGAAAACCGAAGCATCATCAACAAGGCAGACTCCTTTAAAAAGACGTCGGTCAGTACCGAGACTGAGCAGAAAGCAGAATTCATTATAGCTACATAGGAAGCAGGCTAACACCGGACTGGATGACTTCCCCATGGGGATACCCATGTTTTGCCGAAGGAGTCGTTCCGATGCAGAAACAAAGGTATTGTTCAGCTCAAAGGAGATGAAATCGAACACAGTGGCAAAGCTTAATTTCCTCCACCCCTCTTCGCACTTACCACTAAGTAGCTTGGCACTTTTTTCCTGTTTCCTGACAGCGACACCCACCATCCCTTTATCGATCTATAAGTCAATAATCCAAGCCAAAGAACGGAGGATAGATAAATGCGGTAAGTTAGAGAACATTTCCTTGACATCAAACGGTGCCCCTATCACTTCGTGGCTATCCCGCAAACCTTGATTAAGCTCTTTAAGACGGGCAGGCAGCTCATCAGCAGATCGTAGATTCAAGTTGGAGGCCTTCGGTAGATTCCACAGCATGACGTTAATTGCTCGTGACACAGTTTTTCCTCCAACGGCGGAACCTTCAGGATACGATGGACAGATGGGTCGTCATCTCTGCACATCTTTATGCTTGGGCAAACAATACGCCCTCCCCACAGTCCCTTGTTCCATTTGCTAATCTTATCAAGTTTGACTTCCTCATAGCTGTCACGCCAGCCAGCTAACACAGACGCCTCAGACTGTTCACATAACTCAAAAGCAGGATTCCCAAAAAAAAGTTGCTTCATACCTTGTTCCTACACCACGGGGCAGCAACAGAAAGTGTCCCCCGGGTTATGGTCGCATGGCATGCATACTAAACCACGCAGTTGGGACTGGATAGGTTGTAGATCGTCTTCGCAGAGGGACAGCGAGTCTACGAGAGTATCTAGAAAGCAATAACTCAACAGGTCATCCGTTAGGCATCTAGAGTGAATGGTGGGTAGAGCGCGGTGGGAGAGAAAGGCAGACAAGACTTGAGATCGTAAAGACTTAATGGATCGAGGTTGGGAAGAACGCAGAATGTTTTTTGAGTTTTTTACCCAATCTGGAAACAGAGCAGACTCATTCAGACGAAAAAATACATGACCGTTGACCCGAGGAAACAAAGGATCAGAAGAGTCACACAAGCAGGCAACCAACAGAGATCTGGAAAACTATCCAAAGTTATGGATAAGATCCCCCACGCTTTTATTACGGCACCAGACAACTCGCATACGCCTTATAAGCATCATCTTCCATTCATGGCCAATCTCCAGGCCGCCAAGAAGCCGTCCGCACAGCGACCTAACTCTGGACTTACAGATAGACACGTCATAGGTAATCCGAACGACAAGCCGCTTCCTAACACTAACATTAAATCGAGAGAGAATGATACGAGAAAGTAAGTAGCGTAAGCGAAAACGAGTTTTTTTCTCACTGAACGTTCTGACGACGGTATATGCAGCAACACACTTATCGAAATCCCATTCTCCCAGCTCTTAACGGCTTCTGGGGTTACTCAAGAAGTCAACCAAAGAACTTTTAAGACCCAGCGATCGGCTGAGAAAAGGAATAATACGTTCAAAAACCAACGACAGACCACTGCGTAGCTAACCTCGAGCATGACGAAGCTCCATACAGCCAAATGAGCAGGACACCGTGCTACCACCATATAGTCGTTTGAGAACCTTCCATCGGTTAATGAGTCTGTTTCCACCACAAGTTTTAACTACAACACGGTGAATGGACTGGGATCTACAAACTTCCAGAATTTTCAACAAGCTATTGGACACAACGCCGATGCTGGAGTGAAAGGTAGTAGTTGTCCCCAACGATACGCCTGCGGTCGGAAAAGTCCGTTCTTCCCTCCTCTTAATTCTCAAGCGTTCCCTCAGGTCTTTTCGGGACTTACGAGATCTCTTAGGTTTATCCTTACTATTGAGAGTAGGGCAAAGCAAACGGATAAAGAACTTTTCAGTCTCCAAAAGATCATCAGGAAGACAACAGCATAATGAAATAACCACATACGAATGCGCCCCACACCTTCGGAGCCAACGGTACAATCTCTTATTTCTTTTACCCTTTTCATACACTTTGACTTGACAAGCACGATAGACATGTTCCCGCCATCGGGAGTGAAGATCCCTCTACGTGCTACCGACACAGAGATGACGTGACCAAGGGAAAAAAAAAGCATAGACCATAGGGCCTTCCCAAGCATCACCACAACGCAGTAGAGTGGAAGGGAAGAAATCAACGAGTTTGGCCCCCCAGGGGATCCCATTGTAGAGAATCAACGTGCAAACAGCCCAAGTCAACAAGATGTTAATAACCTTACATAGCAAGAGTTCGGTGGAGAGAGATCGAATCCTACAACACAAACGAATAACTTGCCATAGATAAGACGCGTTTGGGCGTGACTCTTAGACGTAGCGGAGTCACGCCCGTCGTCTTTGCTGACCACGTCTTCCCCTTCATCTGTCACCTCCAAGACAGAGTGACTTGGTTCTTTTCGACAGCCATCTTCATCGAAGGCTCTGGCAACACGTAGCTGCACAATTTCTTCCTTAGTGGGTTCGAGCGTCGTGTACTCAATTCCTTCCTTTGCACAGATAGCTCGAATCTCTTCCTTGTTCTTCTTGCGGAGCTCTTTCCTGGCTTCTCACTAACAAGGATCATCGGTGTACCTTGCGATTTACCCTCCTTCTTCTTCGTTGATGTTCCTGCCGCTTCATCCAGCCGGGCCTTCAAATTCGTCTTCGTCTTCTTCTCCATCTCGAGTTTTTCGAGGGCAGATTTCAATCTTTCCACCTCAAGTTCGGATTCTATACGAGCATTAACTTCCTTTAACCGAGCTTCTCTCAGCATGTCGACCTCCATCTGATGACGCTCCACCACCCCTTTCAACATCCCATCTACCCTCTTGCTAGTCGAAGGTGTTTCAGCGGGTGAGGCCCGAGCACGGACCCTTGATGCTGGGGCAGGAGTTGCTCCAATAGTGACACTGCCACACTTGTTGCCGGGTCGAAGTGCCTCGACCTTCCACAACTCTTGATTGCCTTCAGCCTCCTCCTTCTGTTTCTTCAGCGTATTGACCAAGTCTTCAAGTGCAGAAAAACGCCGATCTGCTGCTTCCTTCATAGCAAGTTGTTCTCTCTTGAGCCGCAAAATCTCCTCCAATTCTCCAGTCGGCATGCCAACCGCCGATGTATCGGTGCGATTATGAATCTTCAACAGTTCAGCCACCTGCATTTTAAGCTGCGTAACCTCGTCAGACCCTTTCGATGCTCCGGACGCGCTCGGGCCGCTCTGTTTCTTCTTCAAGTCTTCGATTTCTGCCTTCAGTCGTTTGACTTCGTCTGTGTCACCGCCTTTTTTATTCACCACTTCATAAACTTAATCGATCTTCGTATTCATTTCTTCCTTAAATTGAGAATGAAACAGTGCTCGTTCTTTCTTCTCGCGTTCTACACGCTCTTCTTCTTCTTGCCGTCGCTTCTTCCTGAGTTCATCCTCTCGTGCCGCAGCCTCCTTGGCTTCTTCAGCCTCTTGCTTAGTCAAGATCTTCCCCACCTTATCTTCTAAAGTACTAACTCTGCTACCAAGCCACCCACCCCCACCACCATGAGAGTACCGAGGATAGCTCGGGGTGACCGTCCCCACGCCGGATTGACCAGGCATGGTCAGAGGAGGAGGAGCTGGCGCCGGCACAATCGCCATACTCGTCGATGCCTGCTGACCATTAAAACGACGATCAGGTTGCGGACAGTAACGTGCAATATGCCCAGCTTGTCCACAATTGTAACAACCCTGTCTAGCGCCACCGTTCACAATTGGATAAGCCGAAGCCATTAGGTACGATCTCGAAGCCACTCAACTCTAGTATAACTGCTACGTCGGTTACTCCGTGAGCTAGAGTGTAATAGAGAATCACTCTGATAGTGCTTCGTCACATCCAGAGTGTCAAGTAACGAACAGACAGCCAAAACAGAATAGGGGGTGGAGGGTAGATTAGGAAGGAGATTGAACAAGGGATAGGAGGAAGAAGAAGATGATAAGACACATGATGTCCCGAACGCGACTTGATTTCGAAAAATGAGAATGAAGCTCGACACTGGCGTAGGACCCTACCAGTTTCACCTCGCCGCCAACCAGGATCATCAGGGGTCAGTAAGTCGGTACAGTTGACATCAGTGGATGCGGATATATAAAGAGTGAAACATAAGATCCACGCCTACCGAAAAATATCACAAGTGGACATCAGTGGCTTAGCCAAAAAATATCACGCCTACCGAAAAACATCACAAGAGCCACGCCTACCAAAAAATATCACGCCTACACTGGGCATCAGTGGTTTAGCCAAATGACTTGGAAATTTACGGGCACGTACCTCATGTCATAGAGAACTCACAAAAAACAATTCAGAAAAAATAGTTATGTTTAAGCCCCAAAATATTTTTTGGCAGGGGCCGAGCGCCGTCGGGTTCGAACCCCGTACGGGACCCCGAACGCCCATACGTACGGAGGTTTGCCAGGGGACTTCTGTACGTACGGGCTGGTGACCTTGTATGTTATGCAGAAAACTAAACTGAACAACTTTTGCCCTAGGGTCACATCGAAATTCTTTACCAAATTTAAAATAAAAATTTGAATTAAAAAATAATAATTATTTTTTATTTTTTTTATATCTTATTGGTCAGGTCGGGCAAGTGGACCCGGGCCACTCTAGTAGCCTAGTCAAAAATATAAAATAAACAATATTTGCCTTAGCATTATATCCAAATTCCTTACCTTATTAGAAATACAAATAAAAAACAAAAAATGAACTGTAATGAAAAAAATAAGACAAAATAAATAGGGAAATTACGGAATTAAAATTAACGAGTCGGCAAACCCGTTTTCGACACCAACGTCTTTGATAATTTTTTAAATTTTTTTGGCATAGCCAAATACCCTGAAAATTTATCTATGTGTAATTCAAATCATAAAATTATAATGAAATAAGTTTAAAAAAAAAGAATAAAATTGCTTAAACCCTGTTATAAAGTAACAAAAAAAAGTGAAACATGAAGAAAAAAAAAATTGTGGGTAGGCGACTACGTTTTGACACCTGCATCTTTTGAGATTTTTGAATTCTTTTGGGGGCTAAGAAAAATGACATCAAAATTTGTAGGCATATACATAACATCATAAACAAGTTAAAAAACAAATTGAGAAAAAAAAAACTTATTTTTTGTTGTCGGAATAATTTTTGGCAAACCCCTTCAGGTTCGACCCCCGAACGCTTGAACATACGGAGGTCTGCCAAGGGGCTTGTATATGTATGGTCTGCTAATATATATATATATATATATATATATATATATATATATATATATATATATATATATATATATATATATATACAAATTTATTTTTCTGAATAATATATACATATCTATATATATATATATATATATATATATATCGTCACAAACAAAACTGCCCGGTAAACGTTAGGCAGAGAGAGAGAAGAGGACAACAAACGAGGAGCTGTGACAAACTGTTTCGTCGGAGTTTCACCGACTCGTCAGGAGGCTGAACCCTCAACAGTCTGTAGAATCCCCTCATTGATTACACTATAAATGATAATCTACCTTAACCAAAATCAAAGTAGACTTTCACTCACGCACACGAGATGGAAAACTCTACAGACTGTCGGTTCACACCCCATCACAAGCCAGGAAAACATCCACGAAACAAAGAAAGGTCTGTCACAGCCAAAAAATACACTCTAGACACACCGCTGGCACTAGAGGCACAGCATGGCCGTCTAGTAACGGCCCCGACCACTGCCGCTCGATATATCGTTTGTTGTCCTCTTCTCCCTCTCTGCCTACGGTTTACCGGGCAGTTCTATTTGACGATATATATATATATATATATATATATATATA